ACTACGAATTAACCGTGATATACAGATAGATTTAAATCTTCCCTGTCTTCCTTTCGCAGATAGAATCGAACGGAAATATCGTACAAACAATTGCGTACGGATTCACTTACCTGTTACTCCACGCTGGACTTCCGTGCGATTTGTTTGACATCAGATTTGCAAGCCAAATTAAGCGACGATCCACGGGTACATGATTCAGTCTTTTTTGTAAAAGCAACAGTTCACATATCTTATAATGAAGTATGGTTAATACTGCAATTCGGAGATACAAAATTTTCCACAAAGCTACACTGCTCGGAAAACACGACGCGTCGGTCCCGTTGTTTGAAGGTGCTTCTCGGAGAACAGAACACTTCTGATTCTCAAGGACAACTGAACAGACTACTGACCTGGTCATCCTATGACCTTGATGTACAGGGCTGTATTACAGACGTACAAATTGAAATATACATCAGCCAATCAACGAGCTCTTGCCATTTGAAATAAATTTGCTGAATTCTAGACTCACTTCGCGCGCAAATATAAAGGACGTAACACGGTCGGGAGGTAATTCTATATAGGCCGATACAAAAGAATAACATTTTTTTATTTAAGGTTTAGTTTTCCAAAAAAAGAGTTCGAATATTCGACAGGTAGCTCTGTATCACCTGTAAATTTCAAAGTATGGAACTTTTATTCCTAACCGTGTTTGTCATTGTCATGTCATTTGTTGTGTCATTAAACTTCGACCATATTATTATGTAATTTGCGACTTATACTTTCTCTCATTAATACTTTTCTTTATTCTATTTTACAATGTTGCTTAGTAGATCTCCTCGATGGTAGATTCTTTGCAGTAGGTAATTGTTAGTAACAATCCAAGACACGTAAAAACCATATAGCTAGATTTTATTCAACTGGAAAGCGCATATTCTCACGAATCTATTGGAATTTTGTATTGCATAAGTATTGCATAATATTGATAAAGTGACTTTAGAATTTTCACGTTACAATTAGCTTAAGAGGTTTGAGATGGCGCTAAACACCAGGCGTTTTTGATTGACGTTTGTCTTTCATGTCGTAAGATAAGTCCTAGGTTCAAATGTTTAGACCATGTGGTCTAAGTTCAAATGCGTATCGAGATCGAGACAACCGAGACAATGGAGACGCGAAAACATACCGGTATGCCCAATTCGGCCGGCTCGGATCGTGAACAGGAATGTGGAAATTCCGATGGTGTCGAGTACGCGTTTGGCAATTATGTGGATACTAGTGATTGGATCCAATGTGTATCTGTAAGGCACCCAGGAACAACGTATTACTACAATTTAAACTCAAGATGCAGCACATGGATCAGGCCAGTACCTCCAGAGATAAAGCTGGTGCATGTCGACAAGAATGAATTGGTAAATAGATACATTGTTGCATTTAAAATGCGTTAATCCGATCTTTAACGTTAATAAAACATTATTACCAGACTGCGGATTTTATTCTTTTATGGAAAAATTGAATGATAGAAGATATCTATGAAATATAAAAAGCTGTATGCATGATACATCAATGTCCTTAAGAAATGTTTACAGTTCTTGAGCACATACATACAGTGATTTATTTAATACTGGACCAAACAGCTTAATTTTCTGTGGGATACCATATAATGTGTATGTGTATATACCATATAATGTGTAATAAAAGATTTTTAAAAATTGCTATTCGTCGAAGTCTTGCATAAAGGAAAAACGACATGATTTTTAAGAATCTCCAATAAAAATTTGGAACATCCCATTTGTAGATCTAACTAACTTATGTGCATGTAGGAGTGACTCAAAAGATTCTCGACTGACTTTGTACGCATCCATAGGAAATATGAGACATCCTCTCTCTGTCTCTAATGCTTTCCATGCGTCGCGACTAGTCGAAGCTAAGTATGTAATTTCTATATGTGTGTGCGAAGTCGATCCGAAATCCTTTGAGTCATTTATGCAAGGTTTCATCAAAATCGGTGAATGTTACTATAAACTATAATGGGTAAAAATTTCAAAAATCTGCAGTCTAATTAAACTATATAAAACACAATAGATAGTTAAATGGGTATATTGCATTTTTGTGCAGAGGATGTTCAATAACGATTCTGTACCTGATAGTTACGTAGATTTAATGACGATAACGTCCGATAGCGAGACAGGCAATGAGACAACAGAAGAAAGAAAAGCAAAAAATCTAGCAACTCTTCTGCGAATATATTATAATTCTATAAGCAATGTGGAGAACGAGAACGTCCATGATGACCTTATGTCTGTCGACTTACATGGGGGGTACGAAAGCGAGCCTGATTTGCATAAATTTTTAACCGAGAGTAACGTCGTCATAGAAAAGAAACTTTGCGGTGATTTGCGTTTACCGAACGCGTCGGATTTCCTGGAAGTCGACTTAAATATGACGAAAAGTGATACGGAAACTCAAGAAGTACGAGAAGTTGGACAGTATGGATTTGAAAACGCAGTCAATAGTTCTGAAAGAAATGAAGAATCAATGAGCGAGGAAGACAAATGCTTTAGATACAATCCTCTCTTTCCCTCGGACAAAAATGTTGATGCTCGTCCGCTGCATGCAATGAATATGTTTCGTCTACAGAGTATCACTCCTGACTGTCTAATAAAATATGAAAATAAAAATATAAAAAAGAAACCACAGGAAAAGAACAGAATCGTAACAAAGAAGCTAAGGCCAGTGATGAAAAGAATACCGAAACCACGCCCAATCATATGTTACATGTATGGTACCAAAACGATTAACTATAATGACGACTGTATGGAACCGTTCAGCATCGAACAACGTAAACTTCCACCTGGAGTCAGTGTTTCTCGACTCAGTGAGAGTAGCGTAACTTCTTCGACATGGCAACACGAAAACGTACCTATCAATCTTAATAATATCGAGATCCCTAACGTAAATCAAGATCTGAATCTATCAAGCCCCAGCTCGAGCTCGAGTTCAAGTTCGAGTTCTAGCTCTGGTTGCAGCACTTGCAGCACTTGCTCCTCTTCATTTGATACAAACAGTTCATCTTCAACTGATACTAAGAATTCCAAGAAAAGAGACTAAAATAACTAACTTATACAAAAGTTCTATTTTTTATTATTTATTTTTCTACTTTTTGAGATTATCTATTTTATTTTTGTGTCTAAGACTGGTTTGCACAATAATGAAATGTGAAGCAATTTTTTTATTGAGTTATAATGCTGTGTATAAATCATGGTGGGAGAATTGTATTCGGATTTTGTTAAAGCGATGACGGTGGCAAAAATCACGGCCGGTTTCCGAGTTGGCATATGGCAAACGTTACCTCGACGCAGCCGGTGCACTGTACCGCGACTATTATCCGCGTCTCCGTTGACGAATCACTCTTGCTCGAACCGTAACCGTGCTTAAGTTAAAGGATCAAGCCGGAACAACGATAAAGAACCTTCCACGGAGGGCAAACGGTTTCATATCAGACGGTTCTCATTAATCGTTAGAATTCGTCTTGCAATTTTGTAAGTCTTAAGCTTCTTCTCTATCTTCTCTATCTAATATCAGTTAAAGCATATGAAGTTGAGACTATAGAAATTATCAGAATTCAACAATCCAGTTGTATGAACACAATCAAAAAGCATGATTTTTATTTAATATAGAATATCGTTGAATTATAACTAAAGTAAAGTAAAGGCACCAATAGTTGACTAAGTAAGAGAAAATTTTTTCGTACGAGGTGAATTACTGGTACCTTTACGATAAAGTTGAAAATGTAGGAACGAGACAATATTGAGAAACAATTGATTCACGATACTTTCAGTACGAATCTCTGTTAAATTATAAATAAAAGATCCGAAATGAACGAGGACTATAACGTTGAGAAAATGATCGGGTGAAAAAAGGCAAGGACGTAGTAGATTATTCGAAGACTTTACATCCTCGTTACTGGCGACGTAATTTCAGCGTGTAACGAGTCTCGAGGGGTCCCCGGACACAGCTAGGTAGATAAAGATCGACGCGCTGGCCGTGAACTTTGCACCGTGAGAAGAGTTTTCATTCTGCTTAACAAGTCTTAAGTTCCCGCGCTTACAGACAATGAATCCTTCCACGCGGTGAACAACCGTAGTCATTTCCAGGATTCGTATATAATGGAATGAGAAGGGAAGTAGGATGGTTTCGCGAGCACTCTCATTGCGCTTTCTATGCACTCAACACAATAAAATCGTTTAAATAAAGAGAATTGAAAGAATTACGAATACCGTACAAACGATAAACATAGTACAAGTATGATATGCACTAGAGCTTATAAATGTATGTATAAGTATAATTATATAAGAAAATATTTTATTTCATTGTATTCTCATTTAATTTACTCAAGACTTACTAGAGATTAACAAACATCTGTGCAATAAACTTTGATATTTTCTCTGCAATTCTAAATACAGTTATATATTCGAAGAAATATCGTATACTTCTTGTCGAATTATGTTAATAAATACTACATATTTATTACATACATGATTATAAAAGCATGTAGGTGAAGGGAACTGGAAGAATTATACCGTACAAATGTTACACAAGTATTACATGTATAAGTACATGTTATCTAAGTTATGAAATAATGGAAGAGTTTAATTTAATTACATATTCTAATCTGTTAGTTAAACTATAAGAGATTGACAAATGTGTATGCATTAAACCTTGAAATGTGCTGTGAAATGCTAAGTTCAGTTATTCAAAGAAATATCGTATACCATTTGTAGAATTATTTTAATAAATGACGTTAGAAGAATACACACCGCATTGATACGTTGTAATTTATTTTTTGAATGTTTCGTGTCGTACTCAAACAGTCACACGAAATCCCTCACGAACGATTTCCCCTCTTTTCTGGCTCCCCACTACTATTTCCCTCTTGTGCAGCAACTTCACGATATTGACTTGTGTAAGGCAGTGTAAGATCCACGTGCTTCTAAGGATTCTAACCATAAATTCAGTAAATAATCATGGGACGTCATAAAAAGGTGATTATTTAACTTAATATAACAACTTCATTACTAAATACTGATTGTCAAGTTTCCTGTATAAATAAAAACATATTTTTTAATGACACAGGGGCGTTGCGTCAAGAGGAATAAACAAATTAATACAGAAGAAAATCCAGATGTTGTGAAAGCACCACATTCATTTGTCATTCATCGTGGATTACCTGGTGAACATATCGTTGAGCTTACTAAAGATTTTCGCAAAATAATGGAACCTTATACAGCAATGTCGTTGAAAGAGAGGAAAAGAAACACAATCAAAGATTTTGTATCTATAGCTAGCGTACTTCATGTTTCGCATATGTGTATATTTACAAGGACGGAACAAGGAATGTACTTCAAACTCTGCAGGTTTGTAGATTAGCTCAGTTATCATAGCATTTATTGAATGACTAATAGTTAAATTTGTAATAGATTGCCAAGGGGGCCAACGCTTACCTTTAAAGTGCACAGTTTTTCCTTGGTACGCGATGTAATATCTTTATTAAAGAAGCAATTAGTATACGATGAATTATTTAAGAGTTCTCCATTAGTGGTGCTAAATAATTTTAGTGGCGAGGGCATGCAACTGAAACTGATTGCTTCTATGTTTCAAAACATGTTCCCAACTATAAATTTAACTTCTGTAAGTTCAGATGCGATAAATGAATGCTGAATCATAGTTTTAGATTGTAAGGATATATTTTTGTGTTTCTTCTAGGTAAACTTAAGTACAATTCGTAGATGTTTGTGTTTAAATTATAATCCAACGTCGAAGACCATTGACCTCAGGCATTACGCTATTAAAGTAGTACCAGTTGGTTTATCAAAGGGTGTTAAGAAATTGGTACAAGCTAGGATACCAAATTTATCTAAGTGCGAGGACTTTTCTGATTTCTTGACGAAAGGAACAGTCTCTGAAAGTGAAGGTGAAGATGATCCTGCGAATCATGTCACCTTGCCACAAAAATTATCATCGCGTGGTAATCATGCTAATAGCTCGAGTGCAGTTAGGTTGTCTGAACTGGGTCCTAGATTAACACTAGAGGTATATATTTACTTTCGACGAAGTTCTTTTGAAAGTAGTAGTCATAGGTAATAAAACTCAGGAATATTTTTAGTTGATAAAAGTTGAAGATGGACTTTTGGATGGTGAAGTGCTTTATCACGAGTACGTTCACAAGTCGGAGGAAGAGATATTGTTGATAAAAAAGAAACGCGAAGAAAGGAAGAAATTGAAGGAGAAGAGAAAGAAAATACAGGAAGATAATAAGAAGAAGAAGGAGTTACAAAAACAGGAACATAAAGAGAAATCTTTGAAGGGAATGCATAAAAAGAAAGAGAGCGAAACGTTGCTGAAAAAAATTGCGCAGGAATCAGTTGAACAAACTAATATAGAAGAGGACGACGATGCGGAGTATTATCGTGAGGAAGTAGGCGAAGAACCCGATAAAGGTAAGTACAACATTATATTACGAACAATGGGTTGTTCGTAATGTATTTGCAAATCTTCGCCGCCACTGAGCACGTACAATTATTTACTGTTGCAGATTTATTTGAAAGAAGAATAGGTGAAAAGAGGCCGAAAAAGTATCTACCTAAGTATAAAGTGAAAAAACAGAAACTGAACGAGACATAAAATACTGTAAGTAAATCTGTTTTTTAACACGCGAAATATATTTTGTAATAAAGAACCATCAATTTGAATTTTGCGACTTTATTATTTGTATATATATATGTCTCTACGAAAGTGAACATTAATTAACACGTTATGTAATGATGAAATAACATTATTTCTCATGACTAGCATCGTTTAAGCTCTTGTTTTCATTTCTTCATAACAGATGAGCTGTTCGACAATTAAATTTAAATACAAAGGTAACAAAAGTGTTCATTTTTGTCTCGATTATTTTCTACAAATAGTATAGTTCGGAAACATTTGAAGTTTCTATGATCCGCAAGCAGGACAGTTCGAATGAACCAGCTAAATATTCAGGCTGGATTAGATGTCTATATTCTTATCGATAAAGAATAGACACAATCCACTGTTCGCCTATGCATGTTACTTTTTTATACTTTCTTATAACAATGTACCATTCTCTACGCTCTCTATGCCGTGTTAGATTTCGATAACTCTCCTATCAAACAATCAGAAGCATATCTCTACAATGCTCTTGTTTGGTGATTCTCTTTGGTCTCGGGACGAGACTAAAGATAGCATTACTCTTACCGTTATACTGAATGTGCTTTCCATTATACGGACCATAAGCATACGCTTGGCAATCCGAATACGTATATCTTAAATATTATTACAAATTAGGACGTAACTTACTCAATAAAATCTATGAGTTATAGCTGATGGACGGATTTCAAATTTTGTAAAAGGAATGTCGAATCGAAAGATTATTCTGTATCACAGAATATTATGCCGCAATAGTTAATCAGTTCTAAATTTGTATAAAAAACGTAGAAAATTACTATTACTAAAAATGTCATAGTAATTACTGGTCAAATAACTTATGGCAATGAAGTAGTTCTGTGACTAGCATGAGATATGTGTTCCCGTACGCGGAAGAATTATTATTATTATTATCTATTACTTCTCTTGTACCGTTGGCAGTTTCCGTGTCTGATTCAGTCTGAAACATTTGTAATTTATTTTAGTTGCGCCGGGGTAGAAGATCTCTCGTAAGATGAGGTCGGAGGTAAAGCTAGCGAGGGCGGTAAACTGGTAGTACTTGTCAGAGTCGAGTCCAGTTTTCGAGCTTCGTGCTCTAACAATACCGCGTCCAATGACGGGTCTTGCGATACCGTTCTTAAAGAATCGCCCAAAGCTTGCCTCAACTGTTGCATCTCCCTACCGGCTCTTGAACTTCGCAATACGTACAACTGACGACGTTTTATCTCTTGATTCAGTTGTTCGCGAAGTAACTGTATCTACGATTTATTTTACATACTTGTAGAGATTGTTTGAAAATGAATATGTACGTCAAAGTACCTGGTTCTCCAGACGTAAAACTTGTTGACGGTGACTCTGTTCTCTCGCCTCCAGCAACTTCTCAGCTTGCAATTGAGCCGCTCTGAGCCTCTCGATTTCACTGGTTCTGTCTCTGCTATAATCGAATATAGAATGCGTATGGCTGTAACTCGATTTCACTCTTATCAACTCGGCCTCTTTTTCTGCGAGTTGAGTCTCCAATCGGCGTACTTTCAATCTTAACTCTCTGTTTTCTTGTTCAAAATGATCCACGTCGAAGCTCGTGCCTAGCAATTCCACGTGCGCTTTTTCCGGACGTTCGTAGCTCTTGCTACGACTGGTAGATTTCAGTAAAGACAATTGCCGTTCTAAGTTACGTTTATCAGCCTCCAACAACTTCATCTGTGAAATAAGTCGATACTATTTAATTCTTGTACTAATGTATTTGGTGGAACGAATCAATCTAATATATTTACCTTGTCACTAAGGGCTTCTACTTTTCCCCTCATTTCGCTTCTATCCCGCTGCGCAGTTTGCAATTGTCTTAACAATTCTTCGTCTTTGTTCGTGCTTTCCTCTTGTGGATAGGCAACTATTCTCAATTGAGATTCCAGAGCGCACCGTTGCACTTCGTTGTTCGCTAATTCATTTTGTAAACGTGTAATTTGATCCGCCAGAGTCTGATTCGTATGCTTCAGATCACTTAAAGATTGTTGCAGTGATTCTACGCGTTCAGTTAATATCCTGCGTTCGTTCTCGGCGTTCGAAAGTTGTTTCTGTAACTAAAATGGCAATATATAAGTTAAATAATAATTATTCGTAAATAATTTTATGTATACCTGTTTATTCTTTTCGTTAGAAGTTTGCAAAGTGGCTGTCAATTCCATAATGTTGTGCTGCAGGCAATTAATTTCGTTCTTTAATTCACTTTCTGTTATGGATGCCTTTTCCAATCCGTGATTCAGTTGCTCTACCGTTGATTTTAATGAGGTGCAACGTTCTTCCAAACTAGCCATTGCCCGATTCTGAACTTCGTTTCGTTCTTGCAATTTCTGAGGAATAAGATAAGAATTATAGTTTCTTGATAAGAGTAAGAATTCTACGGTTTACTTACGTGGATGTTTGCGTCCTTTTCTTGGAACATCATTTGCAACCTCTGTAGATCACCTTCCAAAGACATTCGTTGCAATTCTAATTTCGTGGCGCGAGATTCACTTCTACTGAGCTCTTCCTGTAGATTCCGTTTCTCGTTCTCGATTTTGTTCAAAGCTTGTTTCAATTTATCTATTTTGTCCTGCAAGATTATTCATTAACTATGAAGCTATCCTTGCATGATGATAAGGTGTGCACGCACCTCATATTGTCCTTTCTCTTCAGACTGGCTGCTTATCATCGACTCGAGACTGATCATCTTCTCGCGTAATTGCTCGCATTCCTGTTCCTTTTGTTGCAAAGCGTTTAACTAAAATATTTTGATAAGTGACGGAACAGTTTATGAAAATAATGAATGTGATGAATACCTGCATCTCATAATTATTCTGTCTTTGAGAAAGCTTCACTTCTAACGAGTTCTTCTCGTCTTGTAGAATTCTTAAATTCGTTAACAGGGTGTTTATTTGCATGTCTGATTTATTTTGGATCTCCTGGGTTTCTGTCAATTCCTTTTTTAAGTTACACAACTCAGTTTTGTAATCGTCCTAAAATTTGTATAAGAAATTAATAATATATGAATTAGAGTAGCCAAGAATATAATTACCCTTTCACGCTCGATTTGAGCTACTTGTTGCATTAAGGATCGTACACCCTTTCTCACAACTTCAGGATCAACATCAAGTATCACATCTCTACCAGAATCAATGTGATCTTGAGCTAAATTAAACAAGATATATGAATAAATCAATAGGAAATTGCATATTACTTACGTACCTCTTGCTGGACTCCATCTTCTTGATGGACTTAATAATTTAAAAGGTATATTAACGCTTCCATCCATCTGGATACCAGCAATCCGACGTAGAGTGGAAGCAATGCTACTTAATTTTTGTTCAACCTCCTTCTTCGCCATTTCCAATTGCGACAATTGAGCGTCCAGAGCTCGAACTCGCCCTTCAGATCCTCCGAGGCGAGCCTGAAGTTAAATTATCATCGAATTCACAATTTAATCTTACAACGACAAATATTTATTCGTTACCTTGAGCTCTTGAATTTGTTGGGAAGCATCAGCTAGACAGACTTCGAGATTATGTTTCTGATCCTCGAGTTTTCTTTCGCGACATCGACTGTCCTCCAGTCGAACCACCAATTCTTGTTCCCTAGTTCTCCATCGTTCATCCTCTTCATCTGCTCGCGAACGCAATCTCCCAAGTTCTTGTCTCGTCACTTTCAAACTATTATCCACATCTACAAGCTGTCCAACAAAATTACAACATGTTCCCACTGCTTTTTCCTTAAATACTCTACCTGTTTCTTAACTTGATGCAACTGCAATTGCAAACGTTCTCTCTCTTCAGTTTCATTAGTCAATCGTGCTTGCAATTCTTTTTCATCGTTCTGTGCCTGCGCGTTGTTCTGATGACACTTCTGCAACTCATCTTGTGTGAAGCGAAGCTGCTTTTGCAATTGCAGCATTTCTCGTTCTATGTCGCGAAGCTGCGTTTGAAGACGAGATCTCTCCGCATCTATATTTATTTTTACATCCTCCAATGCTAAGATATATAAAAAGAATATGTATAAATGTAGTGTAATAATGAAATGATTTCTTTTATATTACCTGCAATTTTTTGATACGATTCTTCTAACGTTCTGCTTTGCTCCCTTTTCTCACTTTCTATACGTTTCACATGCTCCCTCAACTCTTTATTACTACTGTTATATTTTTCTTTCTCATATGTGCAATCAGATAATTGCCTTCTTATATCTACTAACTCCTTACGAAGCGATTCATTAAGATTCTCAGCTATAAGTTAATATCATAAATTTAATAAATTCAAGAAGTTATTCTTTAATAAAGAATACAAAGATAAAAATTACCCTCTTTAAGCTTTCTAATAGTTTCCTGTAATTGATTTTGCAGACTGTCAACCTTATCTTCAGTCATGTGTAATTGAACTTGCAATTCCTCGGATTCTCTTTGCGCGGATTCGCGTTCCTTCCAAAGCTCCTCGATCTTTAATTCAAGTTTTATTCTCTCTTCGTCAGCTTTCAGTTTAGTTTCGTCTAGCTTCGTTTTGAAGCGGCTCAGTTCATCGCGCAATTGATTCGTATTGTTTCGTTCTTGCTCAGCGCGAGCTGCAGCCTCCCGCTTGATTCGCTCCACATTACTCTTCTCTTCTTCCATTTCATGCAATACTCCCTCAAGTTTTTCCATCAGTGCTTGTTGATCATGATGAGCTGCAGTAATTACAAATTATATCATATGTTTAATTCAATTATTTACATACATTACCTATAAGAAGAGCTTGCTGCTTATCATTCTCTGCCCTAAGTAGAACTTCTTCATGTTGCTGACACAAATTTTCTATATGCTGCTGCAATTCGTCTATCCTTTGTTGCAGCTGATTTATCTCGTTGTCTTTCTCTCCAGTAAGTTGGAAGACAGACTGTTGAAGCCGTTTCTCCAGGTTTATCTTTATCTGTTCCTGAAATCCAATAAAAATTAATTGTGATAGAATGTGTATGCAATTTGCAGTATACCTTTTCTTCATTCAGTTTCTTTATATTGTCTTCACTGTGTTTCTTCACGTTGGAAATAATCTGTTGAAACTCGGCTTCCTGGTCACCACTCTGTTGTGTTAGAGCGTGTTTTATATCGTGTGCTCGCTTCTCACTGTTGTCTAGTTCCTTCATCAGTCTTTCCACTTGTCCTTTCAAACTTTCTTGTTTCACCAGCAACTCTTTTTGTTCCTTCTCCAGCTGAGTCTTCTTCACGTGCATATTTTCTAAATTGGTTTGCGTATCAAATAAAACGCCTTCTAAAGTTTCTTTTTCGCTACGCGTCGATGCAAGCTGCTCTTGCAATCGCTGTATTTCTTTTTCGTTTGTTTCCAAAAGCACCTGCATGAATAAAAATGTTATTTGAAAGAAATTAAGATAAATGCGTTTAATAATTAGTTATAGAGTTTACTTGTTTCTCTTCATTGTCTTTTACGAGATCCTCCAGATTTCTATTTAATCTTCCATTCATCTCGTTCGCTTGTTCTAATCTTTGCCTGAGTCTCATCAGTTCTTCGTTCAACGACTCCTTTTTCCGTGCTAGAACCGAGAGTTGGTTACTCAAGTCTCCACGCTCGCGCGTGACTTGTGCCAATTCTATTTCAATTTTCTCCTTTTCGATTTCCAAAAACTTCACTTTCTCATCCAACGTCGCCTTGTCTGATTCCAAATCGAGTCTGGTTTGTTCAGCTTGAAGCAACTCTTTTCGTAGGGAACCCAAATCATTCTGCTGATCCGCACATTGACTGGCCAACTTGTTCTTTTCCTCTGTTATCTATAAGTAATCAATATTCTTAGTAATAATCAGAAACATTATGTTAAAATTTACCTTTTTCAATTCTTCTTGTAATCGATACTTTTCTTGTTCGTGATTGTTGCAAACAGTCTCCAATTTCATCAATACCTCTTGCAAGTCTGACTTTTCTAATAGCACACGTTCCAATTCCAGTTCCAAATCGCCTGAATATAAAAATATTTATTACCAATTGATTTCGAAAGCTATGATAAGATTTTTACCTTTGCTTTTTTCGATTTGAGAAATTAATCCATCAGTTTCTAACTTCTGCTGTTCCAACATATCTTTCGCAAGATACGCCTTATTCAACTCTTCCCTCAAGGTCAGTAACTCTTCTCTCATCTTACTACACTTGTCCTCTTCAGAACGGAGATTCAATTCCCTGATTTAATTTCGATCAATTAGGAACAGTATTAAACGATAAAAGAGATTCTGACTTACCTCAATTCTATATCTTTAGACAATCTACTAAGCTCACTTTGAAGATATAATTTCTCATCCTCGAGATTGTCACAAAGCTTCTGTAACTTATTGTTAGTCTTTTGCAACTTCTCACAATCGCTGTTTAAACTTTCCATCTAAAAATAAAATTTTATCTGTCTAGTATATCAAACAAAAATATGTATTATGTCGTATGAAATGTATATGTACCATGCTGTTAATTTCCACTCTGCTCTTGTCAAGTGCATTCTTCTCCATCCTTACGGTATCCAGCCCTTTTTGTAACATGTCTTTTTCTTGAATAAGCTGCGAACAATGCGATCGGACGGCATCCAATTCGTTGATCAGTTCCTCTACCCTCTTCTCTAAGTTGTTAACATTCTCCTCAGCGCTCTCGCATTGTTTCCGAGTAGTTTGCAATTGCTCTTTATTAACTTGTAACTTCACCTAACACATTACATATTATTATATACTGCAATGATAATTAGACCGTGGATTTTATGCATGAAAGTAATAAAATAGAATATGATACATTAAAATCCGCAGTCTAACGATAACAACTTAAGAGTCTGTAATTTTACAAATTACCGAAACAATCAATAAAATCTACACACCTGAAGTTCGTGTATGGTCAACTGATATTTGTGTAGAGCTGCCTGGACAGCACTGATAGTACTTTCGGCGAATGCTGGAATAGTGTTGCTTCTTGTGCCTCTTTTCGGTGACTTTTGAGGGATCGGTCCGGTGGGAGTTAAATGAAGATGAGGAGGCGCTTGACTAGACTCCATTTCCCGGCACTCCGCGTCTTGAATCACAGCGTGAGCTATGTCCCTTAACGCGGATTGTAAAATTTCTACGTCGTCTTGCAACCGAGTATTGCGATGTACTTCTGTTTCCGCGTCTCCGCATTTTTCTTCCTGCGTGGAAGAGACATTCATTTTATCCTTTCATGTTACTGAAGGTGCAGTAACAGTCTGATATTATTTACCAAACTGTGAACATCTCGAATAAGTTGATTGATTTTTTCCTCCTTCGTACGAATTTCATTTTGTGCTACGTCGTATTGCTGTTTCAGGGTGGTCAGTTCTGTTTTCAGGTCTGTCGTTAGTTGTTCTTGAGACTGATGAACTTGTTGAGATATCTGAAATATAATAAAATGTGAATAAGGTATAGTAATGACGTGGCTACCGATTTCATATACTTAAGAGAATATTAAATGTGTGATTAAAGGATAGAAGATTCTATTACAATCTCATTTTTCAAATTGATATCTTATTCGCTGGTCTAGTGAACTTTTGAAAACGGTGAGCATACCATAGGTTGCATGGCAGCTTGCATTCTTATGGCAAATCCTGTAGTATTGCAGGCCGAGGAGACGTCATTAAACGTCGAAATAATGCTGTTTTTCATTTTTAATAGATCTCTCTCTGTACTAGATTTTATGTCGGCAAATAATCGTTTTACAGAAACAACATCGCGCCAAAGATTTAACAGTCGATTATGTTCCGAGGTATAATATTCGTTAAAAGCTTGCTCCTCCTCTCTCCAATCTTCCTCCTTGATAGCCAGTTCCTCTCTCAAAATATCCCAATCGTTGCTCAATTTTTGTAAATCATTTGTAAGTGCTTCGTTCGTTTGGTGAGATTCATCTAATTGATCTTTCAAGGTAGAATTTATTTGCAAGAGTTTTTCACATCTAAAAATAACAGAATTACTTATGCGTGTTAAGATAGTGTCCCATTTAACGGGAAACAGAAATTCTACCTTTTTCGTTCATCTCCAAGTTTTTTTAAAGCCGTATCTAAATCATGAATCTGTTCCTCTCGAATTTCTCTCAATGTTTGATGAGCTGCATCCAAAGGTGAAGTTGTTAGCTGCGGTGCTGCAGAAGTTGTTGCTTTCCCGATATCGTGCACAGCAGATTCTACCATTTGATTTTCCAGTTCTGAACATCTCTGCTTGTATTGTAAAACCTGCGAGTACCGAATCATTAATAGGATAAAAGATCGACTTGAAAGTCTGTAAAATCTAGTCTACTTTGGCTTGGAGACGAGAAACGAGTGCAGCTTGATGCTGTTGTGCCTGTCTGTAGGTGTCCAAACGTCTCTTATAATTAGCTGCCTCTTCTTCGAGCCGGTGGCGCAATTCGTAATTCTGTCTGACCAGTGCGTCGGGTGATAAATCATCTTGCTCCCCTGCGCCACTAATCGTGCTCCCGGCTGAATCCATTTTGCTTCTTTCTACCTATAAAATCATGTAAATTAACATTCGACTTTCGACAAATTTAAAGGGATTTAAAGGGAATCTCGGTACCTTAAAAACTACTTAAATAAATTCATTATCATATATTTTGTGCACCACTACATACAGTAATATGTACAGAATTTGAAAAGTATTTATTGTTTAAAAATAGCCACTTTCACATATTTTTTCGTGGCGTGCCCTACATTTTTAATTAATGTATTACAAAAAATTAGTCTTTTTTTTTAAGAAACCTAAGGCCGTATGTTCATCCTAGGTTATGTTTGTGTTTACTATTTACGTTGCTGGGTGAGCAGTGGGTTGGCAACCTGTGGGTCATGACCTTCAAAGGACACGCAAAGTGTTTTTTTTTTCAATTTCCTGTATTACACTCGTTTAGACTTTATAATTTATATTCTATGAAGTCTATTTTTTAACGTTCCTTTATTTAATAAAAAATAATTTTTACAGAATAGTAAAAT